AGACAACGCCCCTATACCAAGGCCCCTCTAGGTGTGTTGAAGGAGTCACACGGAGTCCTCACAGCCACACCTCTAGTACTTCTCTATAGTTATCTACCCTGTCTCTCCACTCTATAGGTTCCGGTACAGCGAAACCCTCCATATAAAGGACTTCTCTCACCATATAATCCGTTAGGTGGGGAGGAGAGGGGGGGATGTATAATGGTTCCTCTGTATAACGGATTTTCATCTCTATATAGTCCGTTAAAAAAAGGTTTCACTGTAGACAGATGCTGATTTCAGTAACCTGGTACCTATTGTTGATAAAGTACGTAGGTTAAGTTAGGTTAGGTTAGGTTAGGTTAGAGTTGAATCATTACGCTGGGGTGTCTAATGCTCACGTGATCCGTCTAGTTTAGTACTGGGCGGTTACAACATCGTTAACTGCTCCTTGTGTGTTGTGAGGTTACGACACAACAATTGGGTACATTTTCTTATCGCCACGAGAGAAGTTTTGTCAGGGATATCAATACAAGGCTTTAAAAGATAAGAAAAAACAGCATATAATATTACCCCACGTGTCTCTCTCTCTCTCTCTCTCTCTCTCTCTCTCTCTCTCTCTCTCTCTCTCCATGGAGCACTATAAACACCAGTATTACGGCACAGTGTGGAGGGAAATGCTCGAATCATTTCCGAAATGCAACAACGATTATTCTTTCTTTGGTAGAGATTGGGATGATGAAGAAGGTGGAGAGGGAGGGAGAGAGTGGGAGGAAATAGTTGAAAAGAAAGTAAGAGGGGAGTGGGAGGGAATAGAAAGAGGGAGGGGAGAATGGGAATGGAGAGAGGAAAGGAGGGAGGGAGGGAGAATGAGAGGGTGTAGAGAGAAAGTAAGAAATGGGTGGGAAAGTGGGGAGAGAATTGGAGACAAAAGAGAAGAAGGGTGAAAGCAAGCAGTGAGTGAGAGTCTGTATGGCAGGTCCTGTACCATGAGAAGGAGAGAGAGTGTCGCAGAGGGGAAGGAAGGGAGGGGGAGTGGAAGGAGAAGGGAAGGAAGGAGCAAGCAAGGAAGCACTGGGAGGAAGGAGAAGGGAAGGAAGGAGCAAGCAAGGAAGCACTGGGAGGAAGGAGAGGGGAGAGAGAGGGAAGGAGCAGACAGTGGGAGGAAGGAGGGAGCAAGCACTGGGAGGAAGGAGAGGGGAGAGAGAAGGAGGGAGCAAGCACTGGGAGGAAGGAGGCAGCATCTCTGGTAAGCACTGATGGTGTGGCCACAAGCAACTTTCTTACACTTCTACTCCTCCTTATTTACATAATGGTTCTGACAAATCAGTTTTATGTTCAATTGTATAACTCAGAGGCTGTTGTTGTTGTATAATTGTTGTTGTTGTGTTGTTGTTGCTGTTGTGTTTTTGGTGTTATTGTTACGCTGTTGTTGTATTATTATTGTTGATGTTGTATTGTTGTATATTATAGTTGTTGTTATTGTTTTGTTGTTGCAATTTTTGTTTTTACCCAAATATATTGTTGATAAATTGAAAGATTGCATTGTTAATATATTATTTCGTCATTATTTAAGCCATAATGAAGCTTCTAGTTTATCATCATTATATATTGTGTTGTTTCATCATATTTTTCACTTAAATCATTATAACAGAGAGTAAATATTTCACGTACATTTTCTTTTATTCGTTCTCATTGTTATGTAAATTTATCATCGTTGTGTCTGGTGATAGTGTTGTTATGTATCCACTACAGCATTAGGTTAGGTTAGGTTGTTGTAAAATCACTTTCCATTCTATCGTGGAAATTCTGTTTTTTTTTTTTCATTGCGCATTGAGTAAGTCATTTGCATCTCATTATCTGTGAGATCAACAACTGAGAGAAATTGGTTAGCTGATTCTGATGACTGAACCAGAGAGGATATATTTATTTGTTCAAAGTATTTGGTAATGATATTTGATCTGTACTGTATGTCTGTTTATATTTATATATTTATTTATTTATTTATGTATTTATATATGTATGCTTCTACCCCTCGGACGGACCAACTCACACAGTTTATATAAAAGTTTCACGAAACATCGAGATTCGAGATACAAAAAATCACAAACACACACACACACACACACACACACACACACACACACACACACACACACACACGGCCTGCACTTTCAGCTTTTCCCTCGCAGTGAATATCTCAATTGCACCTGCAACAATAAAATGAAATTAGGATGTAACTAGCGCAAGCAAGGTAATTAGACAGTTAATTGAATTACTTGACAGCTAATTTTACGTGGCCTTACCAATGAGCTTAGGGAAGCATTAGCTGGCTCGTGTCGGATCCACAAACAGTGTCGGCCGCTTAAAGCTGCACAGTTTGTATATTTTTGTCATTGTTTTTTTCTTTTGTTTCTTTGTTGTGTTATTATTATGGGAGGCGGTGAATCTTTCTCCGTGTGTTTCCTCTGACTCCCTACACATGATAAACAAGAGCTAGTCACTTGTTGAATTGTAAACATATTCTAGGCCCTTGGAGACGTGTGCCTTTGTCTAATACACCTTGTTTGACCTCTGTTTTATTTACGTGTTTAATACTGGTCTTGTTAATGAATCTCTGAGGTCAAATATCAAACAATTTTAATGTAAAACTAATTATGTTAATTCCTCAAAATTAATTATACAATAGAATGCTAATTAATTAATACACCAATAGTTTAATAGGGTGATATTTAGTGCAGTGTTATGTAAAGGTTAAATAGTCGAGTTTAGAGAAGTGTGTGTGTGTGTGTGTGTGTGTGTGTGTGTGTGTGTGTGTGTGTGTGTGTACGAGTTGTTTAAAGTCTTAGGAGTACACCCGCTCCTAACCACCCCCTAAACTGACTCCAAACCACGACGTACCAATATTGACGTGGGTTGGGGGGTCTTGACTTGTACCTTACAGTATACAAACCACCCAACCACGACACTCTTTATACTATACGTGGTTAAGGTTTAATTCAGGGGTTTACAGTGATCTTTCTCCTATTTATTTTAAGTTAAAGTCACACTATCAATATCTTATCTTCCTCTTCAAACAAATAAAACTTAAACATTATTTTCCTAACTCTGAATACTTGAACTGTCCCTCCCTCCCTCCCTCCCTCCTACTCTCTCTCCCTCCTACTTTCCCTCCCTCCCTCCCTGTCTCCCTTCCTCCCTCCCTACCCTCCCTTAAGTTAGTGAAACCGTGAAACTAGTTTATTCCTCAAGTTTACCACACCTTGACGGCTATCGGCAGGAATTACACGATAACTTTTCTCAACCAAGTATTAAGGTGGCCATCTTATCTGTGTGTGTGTGTGTGTGTGTGTGTGTGTGTGTGTGTGTGTGTGTGTGTGTGTGTGTGTCTCAGATAACATCCTGCGAAGTATTTTTAACCTTTTAGTCCATGTACATTTTTCTCATTATATACCCTATCATCTTTAAGCAAAAACAATTATAACTTATAAATATTCCCTAATTATTTATCTGGAAAAATCTAACCAATATATTTCTATTTTTATGTAATATTCTCACGAGTAAATGAATATCTTTTATATATAATGTAAAATCCAGTAACATATCCCCTTGTCATTCTTCTTCGACTGGAACTTGAGACCAAAAGTAAATTGCAAAAGTATTCCCTAAATGTTGCAAGACACAAATCGAGTGTCTTTCAACCTTATAATCCGGGAGGGGGGGAGGTGTTGCACCCTTCACTATCACTCCCCCTACAAAGTTTTAATTGAATTCCAGCATGGATGAATAGACCACTCAATCCACTCCGCCTCTGTGTAGGGGTTCCTTTATCAAGCCGTAATTTAGCCTCCATGGGGCGGTATGTAGCGTGTATCTCTCTCTTGCCTCCTTGCTTGTGGTGCTGCTGGGGCAAGAGAGGTGGTGGTGGGAAGTTGTTCGGTTAGGCGTGAGGCGGGTCATACCTGTCTGTGAGGGGGACGAGTAGTTGAGGGGAGTGAGGGTGGTGGTGCGTTAGGGAGGTGGGTGCGTTAGTGAGGGGTGAGGTAGGTGGTAGGTTAGGGAGGGGTGAGGTAGGTGGTAGGTTAGGGAGGGGTGAGGTAGGTGGTAGGTTGGGGGAGGGGTCAGGGAGGTGGTAGGGTAGGGGAGGGTGAGGTAGGTGGTAGGTTAGGGACGGGTGAGGTGGTGGTGCGTTAGGGAGGGGTTAGGGAGGTAGGGGTAGGGGAGGGGTGAGGTAGGTGGTAGGTTAGGGAGGGTTAGGAGGTGGTAGGTTAGGGAGGGGGAGTAGGTGGTAGGTTATGGAGGGGTAAGGTAGGTGGTAGGGTAGGGGAGGGGTCAGGGAGGTAGTAAGGTAGGGTGGGGCGAGGGTGGTGGTAGTGGAAGTGGTGGCAAGTCACCCGTGTGTGTGTGAGGAGGGGGAGGGGGCGCTGCTGTGGTAGTGAGGTGTGAGGGAGGCGGTGGTGGTGCTGGTGGTGGTGGAGGAGGTGGCATTGTCTCCTCCACTACCTCCTGAACCCTTCCAATCACTTGTCTTATGGAAGGGAAACAGAGGGTGAGAAAGAGAGACACAGAGAGAGAAAGAGAGAGAGAGAGAGAGTGTGTATTCATGTATTTGGTAGATAGAGATAAATAGATAAGAGAGAGAGAGGAAGGAAAGACAACGACAGAGTAAAACATAAAGAAAATCTAGTAACTTTTGGTGAAATTCACTTTAAAATATAATCATTCCCCACATCAGCCTCGTATTCTGCCTGTGTAAATAACATAGACAAACCCACAAGTGTTTTTGTTATCCCTGTGAGAGTAATGCATGTCGCCACGGACCACCATTTAAGCCTCAGAATAAGTCAACCTACATAAATGGGTATAATCCTTCACCTAATAAGACTCAACCACGATAAAAACGAGTAACAAACACAGACTCATAACTCTCGCTGGTCTCTGTGTGTTTAACTTCCTAAATTTGCATTAATAAAACGGGAGGGAAATACCAGCAGACATTAGCATACAAAAGAGCTGGTGTA